CTTTCATAGCCGCATGGGTGTGTATATTTGATACGTAACGGTGACAGACATGCATTTTTTCGAACTGTGTTTTGTGTTTTTTTTTTCCCTTTGGTATTTTAATTTTTAAGGCTGTGACAGGCATAAAGGATTACAGGTGTTCTGAGGCTCTCTCTCTCTCTCTCTCTCTCTCTCTCTCTCTCTCTCTCTCTCTCTCTCTCTCTCTCTCTCTCTCTCTCTCACAGAGGTTGACATTGGGTGGCCGTGACCTGACCCGACCGTACCCAGCCGTACCCGACAGTTCTGGACGGGTGCGGGTATGGCATGATTAGTATGCACCGGGGCAGCTGGGTCTGGAAATCTGAGGGGGAGATATGGCCGGGGCAGGAAACTGTAGGGTGGGTTTGGGTATTGACACAGTGCTTGGATGGTTACAGTCGGGCAAAGGTTTGCCCTGGTTCCGTGTACGGCTGGGTAGAGGTTTCACGTGGGTGACCCGAGGCCTGTAGGCATACTAGGCATATTAGGCAAGCCTAGGTAGTATTAGGGCCAGGCCTCACCCTTTTTCTTCACTGGGAAATAGTGGTACTACCGTCTTCCCCCGAACATAACGCACCCTAAAAATGAATGTATACAAGCTATATTTCCGGCCAGATACAGCCAAAATGAGGGTGCGTTGTGTTCGGCGGAAGACGGTAGCGGGGTGTGCCCCTAGTATAAATTTGTCTCTAGCCGTCTGTCGTTCATCTTAGGGCCGAGGTAGTACTAGGGCCAGGCCGTACTATTAGTTCGGCTTGGGCCCAGTTGTTTCATCTTAGTGAATACGACATTCACTTATAAGCTTTGGCCATAATTGCTGTCAGATCCATTGAAATCTGGCTGCAGTTGCGGCCAAATGTAGACAAGAAAGTATCACTGTGAGTATCCCCAGCCACTGGCCCATTGCCGCCGCCAAAATTCGAAGTGGAGATCTGTGGTTGGAAGCTAAAGAATCCGACATGCAAAGGCCTAAGTTTTAAATAAAGATAAAAACTAAGCCTGATTGGAAAATTTTGGTCACAGGTACGTGGGCACGGGTGGATGGATACTGGGTTCGGGTGCAGCTGGATGCGGATATACGAAAATTTGGCCTGGGTGTGGCTAGGGATGGGTAGACAATTCTTAAATCACCCTGGGTGGGCTGGGTACGGGTAGGAAAAAAAAAAAAATTAGCGTGGGTGGGCTGGGTCTGGTTAAAAAACATTGTGTTTACGTGGGTCTGGCTAGATATGATACATCAAGGCTTGGGCTGGGTCTGATATGGGTAGGAAAGAAAATGGTTTTACGACCTCTTTCTCGGTCTCTCTCTCTCTCTCTCTCTCTCTCTCTCTCTCTCTCTCTCTCTCTCTCACTCGTCTGGGACTTCTTCCCTCGTTTTCCTCATCTACTACAAGCCATTACCGCCTCACTACAACTCTCTCTCTCTCTCTACTGAGGTGGAAGGAAGTTGATTGTCGGTTGCATTCCTAGGTGGGCTGATCTCACTGTATTGGGTTTCAGAACAGGGAAGGTCTTTTTTTATTCTCCCTTGAGGGCAGGTCTTCAATTTTATTGGGGTGGGAGGTGGAGCTCTAACTAAAGTGTGTGGTGTATGTAGGGAGAATCTGGGAAAATCCCAGTACAAAGAACTCAGGACATGCTGCTGTGGCCAGATCAGGCTGACAGTCTTTGTCAGATCTGACATTGAGGTATGTAACACACACCAGCACCAGCCGGTGTATGCATGCTTTTTCGTTTTTTTTTTTATGTTCCCAAGAACCAAACTAAGGCATAATGTTTTTTTTTAAAATACTTTAAGAGTAAGTTTATGTCTTATGTAATATATTTGTTAAATTAAACCATACTTCGAGAACCTAATCAGGATCAAATCAATCTGTGTGGCGAACAGATGTCATGTGATGATTTTTTTTTATGTTTTTTTTTTCTTTTCTTAAGATAGCAATGAGATCACATTCTAGTTGTACAACCCTCCCTCTCTCTCTCTCTCTCTCTCTCTCTCTCTCTCTCTCTCTCTCTCTCTCTCTCTCTCTCTCTCTCTCTCTCTCTCTCTCTCTCCTCCCCCCCCCCTCTCTCTCTCTCACTGCCTCTCAATCTGACTCAACGCTTGGTAGCACAAGACCGCAGCAGCGCTTCCGCAAAAAGCTTGAATGGAAATTGTGTTTGACACCGTGCTGCTGCTGTACTTTGTACTTCAC